CCCTCCACGACCAGTTGCCCCAGCACACGTTCCGTGTCATTTGGACGGCAGGCAATGCCCAGAAGGAGTGTATCCTGTTAAAAGGTGATGCCGCCCGCCTGCCATTCCCACCTGCTGAGTGGGCCTCATCCCTCTCCCCCTGTCCTGAGTGCCCTTGCCTGCCTCCTGCTTTTCCCTCAGGCCACCAGGAGGGCTGGTGCCGGGACTCAGCCACCGATGAGCAGTTGTTCAGGTGATGGCAGGGAAGCGCAGACCAGGAGAGGACCCTGGACTCTGGGCACCAGGCAACTGGGGAGGAGGCTGGGAGCTCGGGAAATGGTATCAGACTGGACACTGGGCACGACCCTCACACCCCGCCCAACCCCCACCGGCCCACCTTCAGGTGTGAGCTGTCGGTGGAGAAGTCCACGGTGCTACAGTCTGAGCTTGAGTCCTGTAAGGAGCTGCAGGAGCTGGAGCCGGAGAACAAGTGGTGCCTGCTCACCATCATCCTGTTGATGCGGGCGCTGGATCCCCTGCTGTATGAGAAGGAGACCCTGCAGTACTTCCAGACCCTCAAGGTGCGTTGGGCCTCGGGGAGGAGGCAAGGGAGACCAGTGGGCAGGAGGAGGGCGGCCAGCGTGCAATCCTCGCCCACATCACCCACACCAGGCCGTGGACCCGATGCGGGCTGCCTACATGGACGACCTGCGCAGCAAGTTCTTGCTGGAGAACAGCGTGCTCAAGATGGAGTATGCCGACGTGCGCGTGCTGCACCTGGCTCACAAGGTAGCGGCTGCCCGGAGCACGCGCGCACCTCTCCCCACAGCGCCTCCTCCACCTCCTCCCCCCTCACGGCCTGGCCACCTGCGGTGCCTGGCTCCCTGCCCTGGGCTCCGGGACCTTCCTGGGCTGCTCTCCCAACCTGGACGAGCTAAGCACTGTCTGTCAAGCCTACTTCCCATCCCAGCCTGGGTTCTGCCCCTCACCTCACCCTGCTTCTCGGTTCCTTGGCCCGGCGTCCTATCCTGAGTCACCAGGGCCTCCTCATGTGGCCCTTTCCAGTGGCCGGTCACAGGTGCCTTCTTCCTTGAAGGCGACCCCTCTCTGCCCCTACTCTGGGCCCTGCTTCTCACCCCCACATCATTTCCATCGACTTCTCACCAGCTGTGCAGACTCTGTTCTCCCTCTGCGCCTCCTTCCTGACCAGCCTGCCTAACATCCTAACTCATCCGCTCTAGCCTGTTCGTGCAACCAGCCTCCCGCCCGCCAGCGGATGCCCCCCACACACCAGTCCTCTCCTGCCAGGGTCTTTGTTTACCCTGGTGCCCACTCCTGTCCTCTGGGCCATCCTCCTGTCCATTCCCCGAATCCCCCCCTCCCATCCACCTCCCAGCACTCACTCTGCCCATGCCCTTGACACCCGCATGTCCTGCCCTTGCTTCCACCCTCTCCTCTGCTGGGGTCCCCGGGGGCCCAGAGAGCAAGTGCTTCTTGAACAGTAGCTGAGGACCCTGCCCCAGGTCCATGACCCTCTCCACCGCCCCTCTCCTCAGGACCTCACTGTGCTCTGCCACCTGGAGCAGCTGCTCTTGGTCACTCACCTTGACCTGTCACACAATCGCCTAGAGACCCTGCCCCCAGCCCTGGCTGCCCTGCGCTGCCTCGAGGTAAAGCACCCGCGCCTCCGCCGTAGCCCTCGGTGGCCCTTCCCGCCATCCTCCCCACTTCCTCGGAAGTCTACAGAGAGGCCCACACTGCCGAGCCCCTCGGTGGTCTCCGTCACCCAGGGTGGTCCCCGGAGCTCCCCACCCCCACCCCTTCCATGCCCTGTCAGCTGACAGTGCTCAGTTGCTCGCCCCAGTCCTCCGGCTGGCAGCTGCCCGCTCAGCCTTGCTCTGGCCCCCCCAGGTGCTACAAGCCAATGATAACACCCTCACATCCCTGGATGGCATCACAAACCTGCCCCGACTACGGGAGCTCACACTGGGCAACAACTGTATCCTTCCTGCTGGTGCCCGGACGGACGGACGGACGGACGGTGGGGAGGGTGGGGCCGCCCAGGGCTGGGTGTGTGGCCCTCGGATGAGAGAGGGAGGACAGGCTGGCCTGGGGTCGGGTGGACTGTCCCTGACCTGCACTGGTGGATTCTGCAGGCAGGCAGGCAGGGTTCACAAATGGACAAGGCTACAGATGAGGAGGTTACCTTTTTCTTTTAAATCTAGATCTTAGACTCTTCCAAAAAGTAGACGTTAAAGCAACCTTTGGCCAATCTTTCCACCTGAGAGCCCTGGGCCACTACTGAGTATCAGAGCCACTTTAGACCAGGCTAGGCCTCACCCCCATGGCCAGGTTTTTGCCACCCCTGCCTTGAAGCTTACTCCCTTCAGGGAAGCGGGGAGATGCCCGCCTGGAAGATGGGCTTCGGGCGGCAGTGCCCCAGTGCGTGAGAGAGAGCCTGGTGGGCACACGAGAGCTGCAGGTCGGAGGGAGCCTGCAGAGTTTGCCTTGACTCCTTTGTGCCCAAGGCCTCCGGATGCTCTCCGTGCTTCAGCCACTTGCCTCCTGCCCCAGACTGGCTCTCCTCGACCTGCAGGGCAACCCTC